TGTAAAGTGTCCGACGTTGGTAATTGCAAATAATTTACCACATAAATGGGCTCTAAAGGACAAAATTTGATTCGGAAAATATCATCCAACAAAGGAGATTTAAACAAAATAGTTATAGAAGCGTTACAAAGAGTAATAAAACGACTTCAGCTAATTTAATTGCACAGAAAGAACGATTCTGCTGAAGTATCTAAAAATTTAGTTATAAATACAGTTTTAAAAATAATTTTATGAACTATCTAAGTAATTATATTGAACGCATAAACTGATTACTGTAATGTTACAACTTTTTACGGCATCATCATCACATGCTTGAGTATTTTATATAATTTATCTTGATGATCTCAAATGTAATTTTAAGTATTCTATATTTCTGCCAAATTTTTATGTATTATAGCAAAATCACTCTGAAAAAAATTCTCATTGTATCTTATAATATTTCTAAGAATTTTTGTATTTTTATAAAGATTTTTGAAACAATATACACTATCTAATTCAGATTTATATTTTCATCGAAAATTATGGAATGAGAAATCTTAGAAATGTTAAAGTTATAGGTAGTGCTTTACCCTGTAAATGTGAATTCTCAAATATTCTAAAATTTCTCTTTCTATAAATTTCCGAAAAAAACTTTATAAAATTTAAAGGAGTTTAAGATATTTTTTCAGAAATCTTTATAAATATTAGGACCTTGAATAAGTTCTCGCTGTTTTCCCACAGATTGCGTTAACAGAACTGCGTGTGTGTAGTTGAAAATGGGAACACATCGATAAGGAACTATGATAAGCAAACTTGAAGTTCAGTGTATGTCATCTCGCCAAAGTGTAAACAACTTTTTGTTTCATAGTGTTAAACATGTCGAGTTTCGTACCAACAAAAGAGTATTTGCGGGGAATTTTACTGCACTACTTTATTAAAAAAAAATCTGCAGCTGAAGCACACAGAATTCTTGTTGAGACTTACGGCGACCATACACTGTTGGAAACAACATGCAGAGATTCACGCTTTAGACGCTTCGAAAATAATGATTTTGACGTTGAAGATAAAGGACGCTCTGGCGCACCGAAAAAGTTTCAAGACGAAGAATTGGAGTCATTACTGCATGAAGACTCATGTCAGACGCTAGCTGAACTTGCAGAATCATTAGGAGTTGATCACACAACAGTTTCGAAACGTTTGAAATTATTAGGAATGATTCAAAAGCGAGGACATTGGGTGCCGTATGAGTTGAAGCCGAGATACGTTGAACGGCGTTTTTTCACGTGTGAACAGCTGCTTCAACGGCAGAAAAGGAAAGAGTTTTTGTATCGTATCGTGACTGGCGATGAAAAGTGGATACACTACGATAACCCTAAGCGTAGAAGATCGTGGGGTAAGCCCGGCCATGCATCAACATCAACGGCAAAGCCGAATATCCATTGTTCGAAGCTTCTGCTCTGCATTTGGTGGGATCAGCTGGTGTAGTTTATTATGAGCTGCTCAAACCGAACGAAATCATTACGGGAGCTCGCTGTGGACTACAATTGATGCGTTTGAGCCGTGCATTGAAGAAAAAATGACCGCTATACGAGCAGAGGCACGATAAAGTGATTTTGTAACATGACAACGCACGGTCACATGTTGCACAACCGGTGAAAACCTACTTGGAAACGCTTAAATGGGAAGTCCTACCCACCCGCCGTATTCACCAGACATTGCATCTTCCGATTATCACCTGATCCGATCGATGGCACATGGGCTGGCTGAGTAGCACTTTCATTCTTATGATGATGCTAAAAAATGAGTCGACTCTTGGATAGCCTCAAAAGACGTGTCGTTTTTCCGACGTAGAATTCAAATAAAGCATTACTTTTCACGAAAAATTGGCGAGAACTTATTCAAGGTCCCAATATAAAATAATATATGAAAAATTCTTAATTTTATGACAATTTTTTTATCATAGTATTACAAATATTATAATAGTATATCGAGCACTATACTATAAAGATAAAGTTTTATTTCTACAAACCTTCAAACAAATATATCTTCGTGCTCGATAACAGGAAGAACATTATTTACAGTGCCGAGATGAAAAAGTATCTTTGCATTATCTTTCAATTTACTAACATATTTCGATATAGTCTGTACAACTGCCAATAAAGCAAACTTATTTTCAGATTGTAATAACAATATCGCTGTTTCCGCATCAGAAATGGATGAATGGAATGAGCTGATGTATTTGAAGGATTCCGTTGCTCTTTCATCCTGTTTATTATTTTTCTTACATAACAAGCAAAAGACTTTTTGAACCATTTCTTATATCGTTATAGATATTTGTACAATAATTAAGAAGATTACAATTGTATAATAATTGTGATTACCTTTGAATCAGATGTTTATTGCATATTTATTTGCACATTTGATTATAATTGTATATTTTAACTAACAATAACTAATTACATAACTTAATTAAAAGAACTATCGAAAGTATTTAAAAAAATATGTTCGTTTAAATTTTAATACTTTCTACTCTAATTTTTAGTTTCTCTTTATCAGCATTAGAATCCTATACGAAATGAGAAATGACATTGATGTTCGAGGCCGCGGTCCGATACACGTTCACAACGCTTAAAAATCATTTCGTCCTTGTTGTTTGTCAAATGTTAAACGAAGACAAACAATGTTCATGAGCGTTGTCAGCATGATTCGGACCACGGCCCGAGTTTCTGATTGGTAATTAGTATTCTGATTGGATATTCCTTTTAAAGTATGGCAATTTGCAAAGAAACTATTCGATGAAAATTAGTTCAATATATAATGTATAAATTAATGAGAAAAAAAGATTCTTTAATTGGATACAAATTTCGAAAGGAAAAAAGTCCCTCCATAGTACGCTTCTATTCTATGGATGTAGTACAGAGGCGAACCACATCTATTTTCGACGATACGATTTTATCGATAGTGTTAGAAAATGTATGTAGTCACGTAGTCCACAAACTGAAAATGGATGTACTGGCGGTAGCGTACGGGTGATTTTAAAGTCACTAGATTTATAAAGTACCGTAATTGATTTCAGAAATGTTACGACAAAATGGCCGAAGTGCACATAGTACACAATATGAAGTACACCAACGTATACATTGAGTTAACATTGTGACGTGTACTTTCGTGTTCCTGGACAGTTCTGAACTGTACTTATACGTATCCTTCGTGTACTTTTATGCACAAAACTTCTACACAAATAAATCCGTATTAAACTACACTGAGAGAAATATTTTGTACCAATAACCAAAGTTTTGTTACTGACACAAAAATTATTTGTTGATATATGATCAATAAAACCGTTGATTACTACGACAATATTAATTTGTTGAATTTATTAACTAAACTAATCATTTAATGGTACAAAACTGTTTTGTATGATGTTTATAGATCTTTTGTAATTAGAAATAGAACATTTTGTTACCGGAACAAAATGAATAATATATAAGTATCTCTCACTTTCTACAGAGTGATTATGTTTGGCGTTTCTGAATTTCCTTAGCTTAGCAAAAGTACATATAGATTTAGAGCAACTGAGATTACCAATCGCTCTGAAAAAATAGTTACCATGATTGATCATGGAATGGTGAGAACCGAGAAGTCCACGAGATTAGTCTCTAATCGTCTCGACTTTATGATATTTAGAGGTAGACATTGAATTTCTCTTACGAGAAGATACGCCATCTCTGATAGCTCCGCGAAACACTGTAGTGGATTATTTTGTTGAAATTACTAAAAGAATACTTATTTTATAATGGCAACCAAATTTTACATTGGTATTTACAAAACGTGAGTAACCAAATAAATTTGTACTGTTAAATAAAAAAATTTTGTT